GGAGCCCCACAGAATGATTCTCCTCCCCCACTTACGATAGCCCTTTTATAACTGGTGTATTTTCACTATGATTCCTCTCCTCTGACCCAAATCATCCACTGTCTTTACCACTCTTGCCAAAATATGTTTTCTAGACTAGTCATTCTCAACCTGGGGCAAATGTGCCTCCCAGAGTACCTGTGACACTGTCTGGAAACATTTTTGGCTGTTACAACTAGCAGGGCATGCTACTGACAACAATGGGTTATGGCCTGGCATGTTGCTAAGAATCCTACAAGACAGGGAGTCTGGGTGGCTCAGTCAGTTAAGTGAATGACTCTTGATTTCAGCTCAGGTCATGATCTGATCTCAGGGTCGTGAGATTGAGCCCTGCATCAGGCACCATGCAGAGTTTGCTTAAGATTCTCTCCCTCCCTCTCTCTCTCTGTGCCTCCCCCAACTCTCTCTCTGCCCCTCCCCCACTTTATTTATTTTTAAGTAAATAAATAAAATCTTAAAAAAAAAGAATCCAACAAAGGCACAGGACAGCCCCCACAACAAAGAATTATCTGGCCCAAAAGGTCTGAAGTACCAAGGCTGAGAAACTCTGTTCTAGAAATATTACCCAGGTCACTCTCCTCTGCACATGTTATGGCTTGTCATAAAAGCATAGTGCTCAGAACTGGACATGCAGTACCTACAGGGATGGGACCAAAAAGAGCATGGAACATGGGGGATCCTCTCTCCCTATGACAACCAGACAGACCATAGCAGCTGAAGCACCCAGAGCATACGCCCCCTCCCCTCCAGTCTGTGGTCAGGGAAAAGCTCTGAGTCCTATTGAAACAAACTGCTCTCAGGGCCAATGAGTAAGACACGAAGATATAAAAACATAAATGCAAATCGAGAAGGAGGTAGAGTTTGCTCCTAGCATCTCCACAATCCTTTCATCATGATAAACTGAATCAAATTCATTTCAGTTTATTTTTATTTACCCTACAGACACAATTATAGATCTTCTCTACTACATTTTTATTACCTGAAAATATGATAAATTGGCTTTTAAATTTTTCATCCAGGCTACTCCCCAAAACATCAGACAGACTAATTTTGAGCCATTTCTTAACACTTTTTGGGTAAGATCGTGTTGACCAGCTATGACTCCACTTAACTGTAGCTTACGCTTATTTATCTGATTAAGAAACATCAGGTCTATGTACTTCTCAAACAAATAATGCAACATATGTTAAGAAAAAAGGAAAAGAAGATAGCAGGAGGGGAAGAATGAAGGGGAGTAAGTTGGAGGGGGAGACGAACCATGAGAGACGATGGACTCTGAGAAACAAACTGAAGGTTCTAGAGGGGAGGGGGTGGGGGGATGGGTTAGCCCGGTGATGGGTATTAAAGAGGGCACGTTCTGCGTGGAGCACTGGGTGTTATGAACAAACAATGAATCATGGAACACTACATCAAAAACTAATGATGTAATGTATGGTGATTAACATAATAAAAAAAATTAAAAAAAAAGAAAACATCAGGTCTAGATGGTTTCATTACTAAGTCCTATCAAACATTCAAGAAACAGTTAATTCCTATTTTATTCAAGCTCTTCTAGAAGAGGGGGCGCGAAGATGGGGGCACACTTCTGCTTGTTTCATAAGCTAGTATAATCCTAAACCAAAACCTTTCAAGTACAGGGCATGAAAAGAAAATTACAGGAAAAAAACCTCATTAACAAACATAGATGCAAAAGTTCCTAAAAAAAAATTCACTCTGCTGAATCTAGTTTCGAATTTTCTATTTTATAAAGTGACTGAAGTGGGGTTATTCCAGGAATATAGGATGTTTTAACAGAAATCTATTAATGTAACTCACTACATTAATAGATTGAAGAGGGGGGACGGAGTCAGGAATGGACGACAAGCACACAGAGAAATCTTTTTCTTGAGTAGCTTTTCCTGTATAACAAAACCCACAAAATTTCTGTGACATAAAATACGCATTTATTTTTTATACGTCTTGGGGTAAGCTAGGGTCAACTATTTGAGGCTGGGCTCAGCTGGGCACCTCAGCTTTAATGGCAGGTCTGTGGGTCAGCTGCGTGACGATATCCACATGATTCATTCTTCTTAGGCTGGCTAGCTGATACAAGCTCATCTCATGGCAGGGCAGAGTACTGAGAGGGTGTACTCAGTGCGACAAAGACGCTTCAAGCCCCCGCTTGCATAATGTCTGCCATTATCCTATTGGCCAAAGCAAACTGCATGGCTGAGTTCAAAGTCAAGGGATGGGAAAATATACTCTGCTTTTTATGGCACAGATACAAGGAGTGGAGAATTGAGGCCAAGGATTTAAAATATCACAGGACCTGTGAATATTTTATTACTTTTAACTTACAAATATTATATATATGTATACATATACAAATTCGCCCCAGGTTTATATATGTATATACATGCGTCTGTGTGTCTGTGTATATATATATATATATATATATATATATATATATATGAACTTGGTATGTACAAACTGTTTCATAATAAATGTTAAATTCACACATTAAGCATATTTTGGGATCTTTCTTATTTACTAGCCTCATAATCTTATCCAAAAGGGAAATGTAGTTCAGCAATTATCTTTCATTTTTACTTTTTTTCATTCTTTCAACCTCTTCCAAAAAGGATTTAAAGAGGTTTACAAAGCACTGAGACAAAATAAATGTATAATAAATCAGAAAACAAAGCAAAGGGAAAATAAGGTTATCAAAGCAAGATGGGGCTGAAACGGCATTAGTGTTGGGCTGGATAGTCTCCATGTGCTCCTCCTGATCTCTCTCTCCCCTTCCCTAGCTGGTCTGTCCTCCTTAAAGGGCTCCCCTGTCTCGGGCTTGTCCTATACTACAGTCCCACAGGGTCTGATGACCACTGTATCCTCTTGCTGCTGGAGGCCTAGAGGCTGGTAATGCTGCCTGTGAACCAATCCCGACTGGCTCCCTCCATCCTGCCACACCTTTGTAATAACTCCTTCATGAAACTCTCCTTACTTACCCTGTTTGAAAGTGTCATTTTTTCCTGCCAGGGACCCTGATTATAAGAGCCCACAGATCACATGCCTTAAGTGTAAATACACACTAGAAGTAGACCATAAATACAGCTCTCAGGTCTCAGTGTGATTATCAAGTGGGAAACACAATCACTAAAAGAACCTCCAGTCCCTTGAGAGAAGCAGACCTACTCCTGACACCAAGATAGGCAAGAAATTTTCCCTGTGGTTTCTCTAGAAGAGGTCATTGTGGTATGGATGATCCCATTCTTTTCTGTCTTACAAACCAGCTCTATTCAGGGCTCAGTCCTCAAATATCCTCCCTCCTTATCCACACTCACCTTCTAATCTCATCTAGTTTTATGGTTTTAAATATCATACACATGCTGACGATTCCCAATATGCATCTCCAGTACTGCCTTCTTCCTGAACTCATTTTCACCATCGAGTTGCCTACACCGGATATCCAAGAGGCATCTCAGACTCTTGGCATGTCCAAAAGAAAACTCTCCATGTTCATTCCATAATCTGCTCTTCCTAGTCTTCCCTCATTTAGGTAGAGGGCCACAGCATCTTTCACTTGGTTACTCAGGGTGTGTGTCTGAGGGGGAGAGAGTATAGCAGAAATCTATCATGCTCCATTCCTTTTTTGCACATTCCACATCCAATCCATCCACACATCAGGTGGCTCAGATCTTCAAAATATATTCGAAATCTGACCACCCCCATCACCACTACTCTAGCTCAAACAGTCAGCCTCTGTTGTCCTACTGTGCCCCTAACTGCTTTTTCCCCTACTCTTGCACTCTTCCAGGACCCCAGCTGAAGCGAGCCAGTGTGATCCTTTAAAAATATGTCATATTCTGTTGTCTCCTAGTCAAAGTCTTCCAAGCACTTACCATCACTCTCAGAATGCAACATAAAGTCTTCACCATGGCCTAGAAGGCCTTACATCTGGATATCCGTGAATCTTTATTTTCTTCAATTCTCTCCCTCCCTCTGCTCTGGTTATGCTGGCCTCCCTGATGTTCTCGGAGCAAGTCAAGCATAGACTTAAAGTCTCAGGGCCTTTGCACTTGCTGTTTCCTACAACTGAAACATTCCTTTTCAGATACCTACATGGCTCACTCATTTCATTTAGGTCTCTGGGGAAATGGCAAACCCTCGGAGAAGTCTTCCCTGGTCATTAGTTCTAAACAGTCCCACCATCCCTAGTCCTTTATTTTTCTTCACAGCACTAATCAGTACCTGACATTACATTAAATATAAATATGTAGTTATACATTTGTCTATTTAGAATGTAAGCTCAAATAAAATAGGTTCATTTCATTCACTCCAGCATCTCTAGTGCCAGGTACAATACTTGACATACAGCAGGGTCTTGAAAATACGTGTTAAATGAATGCAAGACTCCATTCGATTTTATCTAGGTTCCTGACTCCAACTCAGCAAGATCCAAGAGATATTTGAGTCTCAATTATGTGAGCGGCACTTAGCTAGATGCTTAGAGCTTTAAAAATCTAACGGACACCTGAATTGTGAACTTTTGGGTGAGTAGTGATTAGGAGAGGGCACAAGGGAGCCCTCAGGGTACCAGAAACGTTCTTTTTCTAGGAAGTACTTAGGTGTATTCATAATTACAAACCTATTGAGCAATACACTTAAGATTTGTGTATTTTAAGTTGCACCCCAATAAAAGACTTTTTTTTTCCGTTTCTGACCCATCTAGACACACGGAGAGGTATTTTTCATTGTGGCAAAAGCAATGATAGAGGGTCTGCATGGCCCGCTGCTGAGCAAGCGGACAGTCACCCTTCAAGTGCTAAGGTCGCAGACTTGTTCAAAGGAAAAGGGGAGACTGTATCCTGTGTTCCTTCTGACCCAGAACCTCCCAGAGATGATGGGCCTTCCTTAATGCCCTGGGACCCTCTGAAACTGGAGAGCAATACTAGTGCCTAACAGCTAAAGGCATGCTCCACCTGATGGGGAGCGGATCCCTGAAGTGAGATGGAGCTCTGAAGAACTTTCCTCGGAAAAGCCCCCTAGAGAGAGGGGAACAATGTAAGTCTTTATGTTTTAGATTTTTAAAAAGTTTTTATTTATTCATGTAATCTCTACACCCAACAGGAGCTCAAACTCACTAGCCCGAGATCAGGAGCCCTATGTTCTACCGACTGGGCCAGCCAGATGCTCCTATGCTTTCAACTCATAATCATTTCGCCAGAGAGCCTGACACTACGGCCACGCGCACTTAGAAGGGACTATTGGCTGGATATTCCGCCCAACAAACGTCACGGTCCCCGCGCTCGCTGGCCCGGCCGCCAGCACGCAGGCGCGGCACAGAGCCGTCTTTACGCAGGCGCAGTGCGGCCGGGCACCGGTACAGCGGAGGGCAGGGGCCCGGCGGGCGGGTGCGCGTTCCCGGCGGGCGAGAAGCGAGGCGCGCGCCATGGAACAGCGGTTAGCCGAGTTTCGGGCGGCCAGGAAACGGGCCGGGCTGGCTGCCGAACCTAACACTTCGAGCCCGAGTGCACAAACCTCAGGAGAGAAGGCGCAAGCAGCTGCGACTCCAAAGGCAGCCCCAGGCTGGCTAAAACGGTTCCAAGTGTGGAAACCGAGGCTCGCGAGTGCCCGGGCCCAGTCCAGCCTCGCTCAGGTGAGAGGGAGGCCTCAACCCCGGGACCTGGCTTCAGGGACGCTGTCGTGGCCTCCCCGGAAACTGTGGCCGAGGCCACGCCCACCGCCCGCCCACCGCGTGGTGGCCTACAGGCCACGCCCCCGTCGAGGAGCGGGACCCGCCCCGTCCTCTGGTTCCCACCTCAGCTGGCGGAGCTGGGTTGCTGGCGCCTCCCCCCTACTCGGGGGATAGGCCGGGCGTCTCCGGCCACTCGTGCCAGCACTGATCCGTGGCTTTGACATTTTCTTTCCAGCCCGCGACCCACGCAGCTCCCGATTCCAGTCGGGAAGCGAGGGTCTAGAGCCCTGGAAGAAAGCACCTCTGCCCTTGAGTTATTGTGATGCCCTCTGGCTTCGGGAAACTTCACAACTGCTTTCAGCCGCAACCCTCCTCTAATGGAGGGTAAAAGGTCTAATTGGATACTGCTAAAAAGCGGCAGTAATTAAGGCTTCCTTTGATTTCCCCACTGGGTCACATGCAGCCAGTAGCCCAAACAGCCTGTGCTTTAGAAATGGCATTTGAATACAAAACTTGTAAAAGTGTGGTCGCTCTAACTGCCAGAGGTGGCCGATGCTTGTGCACCGCTATTGAACTAGGGAAACTTACTCAAGTTTAATAGTGAATGTTCAGGTGAAAACATTATTTAGATGACTATTACAGACTTTTCCCCCTTTAATTCTTGGTATTCTCTTATTTTGCAGATGGACTTCATTCACATCTTGTATTTTCATTTAGTTTTCACTCAGGAGTAGAGTGGCAAGGTGCCTTGCAGGTGTGAGATTAGATGATCTATGTTGGAATACAGGACACAACATCGAGGGAAATTCGGTGCCTTGAGACAATGTATGACAGTGTGTGACAAAGCGTTTTGTATCTCAAGAGCCAAAAATTCCTTTTGAAAATGAAAATGTATTGGAGAAGTGTACCTTACTCCTCTTAAGATTATTTCTCTTAGTTTATTTATTACTGCATAACCTCTGGTTTTAGGCAATTTTTTAAACCAAGGAGAACTCATTGTTACTCAGTTTTGATTGGATATGATTCTCCATGACACGCCTGGTTCTATCAGACTTACAGAAAGCGAGTGCAGCAGGGTTCAAACAATCCATTTCCTTGCATGCAGTTTGTCTCGGGATAACTTTATTGTTGATTAGAACTCACTGAGCACAATTGCTCAAGATTTTAGAATCTGCTTCCCTTACCCTTTTTCGTCTCTGCAGTTAAAAATCAAAATCTAACCCACACAATGAGTATTTGCCTGTATGTCTCATTTCCAAAGGAATATGAGATCATTGAATTGAACCTAGAGAAGCTGAACTTGGAGAAAGTTTCCATTATTAAAAGCCCAAAAGCTGATGTCCTGACAAAAGGATGACAGGAAATGCTGGACCCACAGTTGGTTCTTATTAATTACTCTGTTTTTCATAAGGGACTCTGTCTTAAGCTCATTTTCCTTGACTCTGTTATCATTCCTGGCTTTGCTCTGGTGTGAAAATTCTCATTAAATTGTTTCTTTTCCTCCCAATTTACAATCCATCTCTCTTAATAATTTTGCTGACACATGGTGGCTTGTCAGAAATTTCTTTAGCCTTCTATTTGTAATTGCTTCTTGGTTGTCATTGATAAGGAAGCATCCATATCCTCCTTCCCCCACTCTCCAATTTAGCTTGAGGAAAACAGTCCCCAAGATAAAATATTTCTGTGACAAGCTTCTGCCAAATGAAGACCGGAATGCTTGTGACTTTTTCAGTCCTGCAAAAACCCCCTGTCTCCCTCCCCAGGCATATCCCACAGCAGCCCCCAGTGCACCATCTAGCCCCAAGGTGCCCACACATCCTATGACTCCTCACCCCAACCCTTGGCTCGGGTTGACCCACTGCTCAAATGCTCTCCTTCTTTGGAGTCACCTGGTGAAGCATAGCCTTTGCATCACTCTCTCAAACCCAGGAATCATCTTTTAATTTCTTCCTTTCCCTCACCATCATTCATTTATTCAGCAAAATTATATCATGTGCCCACTCTGTTCCAGCTCCTATCCTGAATCTAGGGAAACAGGGTGATAAGAGCAGATGAAGCCCTGTTCTCACAGAACTTGCATTTGGGTTCGAGGCAACAGACAAGAAACCGAAGAGCGGAATAATGAATGCCATGAAAGGGGGAAAAAAACAGGATACTGTACTAGTGAATTGGGGGAGACAGGTGCAGAGTGCTACTTTAAATGAGGTGGGCAGGGAGGACCTCACTGAGGAGGTGGCATTTCATAATTAGGAGCCACTCTTGGAGAAACAGGACAAGGCAAAGGGCACATATGGTAACATTTTTGCTGAGGTTTGTAGAAGAGAGTGAGCCAGCCAGGTGATGTGAGGGGAAGGGGGCATTCCTCTCAAAAAGAACCACAGGTGCAAAGGCCCTGAGAGGGGAAGGAGTTTGGTATTTGAGAACTGGAAGTACTTTCCCTAAACTATGCCTCTGTGTGCTGTGATGACCACAAACACTACCATACACAGCTTTTACAACAGAAGCCACACTGGTACTAAAGCAAATACCAAATAAGGTAAAGGAATTTCTCTCTCCTCTTGTTTATTCCCTTTGCCAGTTGGTTTGCCCCCCCCCCCCATCTCCTTCTAGATCTCTAACCTTTCCCCTTACCATCTCCCATAAAGGCCCCTGATAAAGTACAAAGGGCTGTGGAGGGAGACCATCCTAGGATCCTGGCGACACCAACCTCATCTCTGCCTATCTCTCGCTGTGTGACGTTAGTGGAGTTACTTAATTAACATCTCAGTGTTTCTGTATCAGTAAATTGGGATTAATAGTGCCGGTCTCCTGGATTACTGGAGATCAGACATCTTGAAGGCACTCAGTAAGTGGTGGCCATAAGCATTATTCTCCCTCAATAATAAATTCAGTCTACTGTGAATTTCAAGTTGTACACTTTCAAAATGTATTCCGTATCCCTCAGTCCATAATTTCTCTCTGACTTGTATGTCACCACCCCCGTTATGCCCAGTCCTCCTCTCTTACTGGGCCTCCTGCATGTGCTACTCATAATTTCCCTGCTTCTACTCTTGTAGCCCATTCTCTACCTGGCAGCCAGAGTAGTCTTAAATATAAATCATATTATATTAGTTCCCTGCTGAGACTTTCAGTGATTTCCCTGTTGTGCACACTGGTCAAATCCGAAAGGGACATTTATTTACTTAACAAATGTGTGTGTGTGTCAGGAGGGGTGTGTTGCTGATAGCATGGTTAAGGGCTTTTCCAGTTTAACTGAAACGGTAGTAAGTACAACGTTGACAATAAAAAAGGTTCTAACAAAATAGAATATCTGAAGCAACATAAATCAGATGACCTATGTTTTTTATCGAGACCAAATAATGTTTGTGGTCCCTTCTTAAATGATCGCAGGGAGAATGGGGGATATAATTGAAGAAATGAACCAAAAGTAATGCTCTGCATTGAGAACCTATGTGTGGGGTGCTATGTTTGGCTGTGGAGACATCAAAAGATAATAAATGGTAGTCCATTGACCTCCTGGTAACACTCTAGGGACATATGTGACCTGTATTAAAAGAAAAACACTTAACTGGCAAGTAGTTTGGTGCCCAGTGAAAAAGGCAATTAGTGCTCTGGGAGACAGAGGGGGCACCCTTCCTTAATGGCCAAAGAGGTCAAGCATACATAGTTCACCAGTCATGCCTGTCCCAGGCTACAGGTGTGCAATGTCTTTGGGTGTTAAGATCTCTTGAACTGGAGTAGAGGTTCATTGATAGTGCAATGGATTGTAGATTGTGTTGTACAGGGAATTTTTAAGACCATTGTTTTTCAGACTACAAATCGTGACCCATTAGTGGGTGGTGAAATCAATTTAGAGGATCTAGTCCTCTGTTAAAGATAAATTTTTAAAAATGGAATAGAAAATGAGAATTTCATATGTGGTGAAGAATATTTGTTGGTTTGTGAAGCTTTTTCTCTTTTTTATATGTATATACGCTGGGTCCCAGTACAAAATGTATTTCTTATTATGAGCCATACCCAAAAAAGTTGGGAAAATGGCAGAGATCATGCCTCCCTAAAGCTACCTAAATATCTGTGTCTCACATTAGCACACAACACAGGGACCCGTGTATTGGCATTTCTATCTGTTGAATAAATGGAAGGCCTTGCTTGGATTCCAGCCCAAAAAGTTTAAATTTTAACTTGCAGGCAGTAAAATTTGTTAAAGGTTTGTGAACAGGAGGTTAGTGGGTGTTTTAGGAAATTCACTTAGGCGCTTTACATAGGATGGTTTGCAGAGGGAAGAGATAGGAGGGAGGGAGTCCCGTTAGAGACACTGCCTGGGCCGGGGGGTGTGTAGGATGGTCCTGGCATGGAAAGGTTGTGGCTATACTGAGGATTTGTTTTTATTTTTATTTTTATTTTTTTAAAGAGTTTATTTATTTATTTGTCGGAGAAAGAGAGAGCACAAGCAGGGGGGAGCAGCAGGCAGAGGGAGAAGTAGGCTCCCCTCTGAGCAAGGAGCCCGATATTGGACTCGATCCCAGGACCCTGGGATCATGACCTGAGCCGAAGGCAGATGCTTAACCGACTGAGCCACCCAGGTGTCCCTGATGATTTGTTTTTAATAAGTGGAAGGGAGTTTTGTTTCTTGTTTCTGGTATTGTCCTCATTTTAGAATTATGTCACTCACAAAACTGTAGCTCATCTAATCAAATCAATAAACATATTGATTCTGTGTGTGAAGCATTAGGTGTGGTTGTTGCATTATCAATAACGGGAGTTTCTGTATGGGGCACAAATTAGCTCTTGTTAGCAGCAGACTAATCTGAGGAAGTGACTCCCACAAATGGGAATCCATCTGAATGCTGTAAGGTTTTTATCAGGTCACATCTCACTAAGTGCAGATCAGTTTTGATTCAGTCTGAGCAGGGCATGTGAGCTCTTTGGA